CACAGCACACTAGCAAGTCTCTTAAAATTTGCTATACATTACTTAAATTTTTTTATAATAATTAGGGCTAAATTTTCTACCAGCCTTATCGTATGGAAATATATAATTCGATGGCTCAATCAAAAACCACCACAAGTCAATAAACAAAGAAAATTACATTTTTGGTTCAATGGATGCAAAATATCATTGAGTTTTTATTTTAAATACCGCCACAAACCATAATATCCTTAGAGATACCCGAAAATCATTTAAAATCTTTCTCAAACTATATCTGAAACTGACACAATTCGGGTTATTTTTCCCAAACACACCCAAATTTTTAACAAACTACGCAATAACTTGAGTTAGGGCGCTTTTATAATCATAATGTCAAAAACAAAGTAATGATAATATAGACACAAAATTTTAAATGAAATTTCTCAAAACAATAGTATTTTTAGTTGTGGCAGTATTTGATTGAGCCATCGAATTGTACAATGGTTTAGGTGGACCTTGCCTTACCAAAAAGATTGTCTTTGCCTTTGCATTTCCTTTTCCACTCTTCGTTTTTATATTCGCAACAAGATAGTTTGTTGCGTCCCTCGGACATTCTGGAAGATACACAAAATATATGAAATAAAACAAAGCAAATTATAAGGAAATTGTCTTACAACAGACTTAGTTAAATTAGACAAGTATTGTGGCGATTTACTAGAGTGGATATGTTCTAATTCTAGCAAGAGTTGCTATTAACCGGTTGTTGGGCGCCATTGTTAGAATAACAAAATTAATTAAATTCAAATCACTTGTTTATAACTACCTTTAATTTAAATCGAATTATTAAAATATTTGTTTTATAAAACCATTCATCATCCACAATTACTAAATATTTCTCAGGGGTAGGTCCGACTCTGTGGTTGCAGAGATTTATTTGTTTCACGCCAGACGGCGCTGCGATACGTTCGATTTTACCAATATGGTCACTTGTTATTTATGCTTGTGTAAATTTAAACCAAAAGAAAAGCGAATATAAGTGCAAACAAAGAACATTTATTTATAAGGAAGAAACAAACGCAATCTAGCAAGTTCTGCCAAAACACAAGGAACAATTAAATATTAAAGTGTATAAAAAAATAATTTACGAGGCATGGAAATTTGAGGTTATACCAGATAAGTACATTTTTATATTTTGTTTGTACCTGACAACAATGAAATATTTTATAAGATTCTTCCAAGAAATCATTAGGTTTCATTCACAAGGTTCGTAGTAATAGCTAGTTGATTCACTGTTAATATTTAGATTTTAAATTATTCATTTTGATTACTTTTAGCTGCGAGACGAAACCATATGATTCCTTTTCTATTTAAATTAAAATTCCGAATGACATATAAATTTCTTACTTGAGCTGTCTATTTCGTTCAATTTGATTTTAACAAAATCTAAATTGCTCAAATAAGGAGATATTTATTTGTCGTTCAAGTTAAATGTTAAAATTCATTATAAAAAAAAATTATTCACTACTAAAATTAAGATTCAATTAGTTTTTAAAATAGAACTTTTATCAAAGTTTCTAGGCCTTTCATATTGTTAATATTTTGCAAAATATTTAAGTTTTTGTTACCTGAAATCTCATTTTTAATGTTTTAGCGCAAGAATATAACTTTTATGCACAGCTTGGGGAATCCTATGTCCAGTCTTGTAGAAATGTGTGCCCTTTCTGGTTCAAAGCACCACAGCAACGTTTGTGAAGGATAAACTAGACTCTGTGATGTGATTTTGCAACGAAAATCACTTGTAGAATGGAAAATAGGTAATTTTCTACCCAATTTTCAGAAGAGATTTCTTTTAAATTCTGATTTTTTTCTTTCTTCCACCACACTCTCCCAATTGTTCAAACAGTTTCCATGGAAACCGAACCGAAAACTCTCACATATTCCCTAATCAAGTCACTTTTGTCAGGTAAGTTGATGTCTTAATTTTAATAATTAAAATGTCAGGTTATATACAGGGGGAAACAAAAGTATTGTCTTTTTCTTGGCTTTCACTAATAAAAGTGTTTTTTTTTTGTTTTGATATCACTTTTTTAAATGTAAATGAACCATTTAAACACTTATTCTACTTCTTAAAACTATTTACAAGTATTTACAAACTCAATAAAATATGTGTTTTGTTGTCAGGCATAAAGTTTCTTAATTTTCCCTTATTAAGTTGAGTTTATTAGTTTAATTTGTTTATTGATCGTTAACCTACATGCTTCTATCTATTTATCATTTTTTTTCTAATCATTTAATGTTATAAACTATATTCTTTGTAGATTTCCGGCACTTATTTGGAGAAAACTGTTTCCTGTGGATTTTTTTAACGGCTTGACTGATACTATGATACTACCAGTGAGATCAATCTTATTTGTATGCAATATTCTCAAGGACTCATTTACAGGTTGCAAATTACTGTTTTATTTGTACTTCACAAATCTGTTAAAGCAAAATTGTAAGTATTACGTTATTAGTAAAAATTTTTGTATGTATTATTATTTTATTCATAATTATTCTCATTATTTGAGACTTATTTCGTCTTTTCTTCTGGTCAAACTAATTCATTTTACTAAAAATGAGGCACATTGTTTATTAATTATTGTTACTTTGCGGTTTGATATACCAGGTGATTCATAACTTCAATTATTTCTTAATTATACATGATTTTGCGTTAATTTTCTTTAATTTCAACTTATAGATTTTATTGACCGTTACAGTATTTAAGAGATCTAGGGGAACGATTAAGCAGTTTTATATGTTTTTAATATTTATAAATTATGTAATAGTAGTAAAATAGTAACGAACCTACCACACCTGATACCTTTCAAATTTGAAAATTTTTAAGCACTTGCATTTTACACAGTTTTGCTTCAAAATCTAAAATGGTATAAAATAGGGCAATTTTTATTTAATTTTAATTTTATAAAATACCTAAGAAACTTTTGCTATTTTTAAGAAAATTTTATTTATAAGACTAATTTTTATTACTTAAAAATTTTAGTGATATTATTAATATTTAAACTTGGAAAAATAATACATCAAACTCTTTTTCCTTTAATTGAATTTTTCTATACTACAGAAAAACAAACTACAAGTGCTATATTCAAAAGTACTTCGTTATGCTCTTTTTACTCGATTAGATCCATTCACTTCCTCTGTCGGACCTGCTCTATGCTCTTTTAATGCAGAATGGATAAGCTCTGTTTACTCCATATTAAATTCCCGATCGAAATCAAGTCACAGTTGTTATTTAATTGAAAAGTATTACAAAACCAAGCAAAATATGAAAAAGATAGTACAGTAAAAAATGTATCAAATATTTTATAGGGTATATGTGAAATTTGTTAATTTTAATAGAACCCATGGAAACAAACCAAACACATTCACACAGATGCATGACGCTCGAGTCGAGTTTGTTTTCATCCTATAAACTGAAACGAAACCTCTTAGACCTCTTCTGCAGGGTACTCAATATTAAGATCAATAGATTTGTATACTATGCCTTCTGAAAAAGCATAAAGGACAACATGCTATTGTTAGAGTCAGCAAATTAGGATATCGCCGCCACTGGGGTCGACGGTACCACGTCTGCCCGTTGCAATGTCCAGGACCAGGAGAGAGCTGGGAGTGCTGGGACTTGACTTTCGACCAGCCGAACGGCATGAAGTGATAGGCAGTATGCCGTTAAAGACATTCTTTATTTTGTTCCTTAATTAATTACATTTTAAACATTGTTTGCGAGATATTTAATAAAACATTATAAAACCATGTTAACACGTGTTTTGTGAAGTGGCTTTACAGGGTGTTATAGTACACAGGGTAATAAATCATTTTAAAACAATAATTTTGAAGTTAATTCTTTTAACTTCTAACACTATCGTAATTTAAACAGAACGTTTCTGAATGCTAGTCCCTGTTATGTCGACGGATTGTTTCCCTTGTGTGTGTACATTCTGTTGTGTCTCCTGTTCTGTGAAAGTTCTCCTAGTCTCCTAATTTGACGACTAGGTAGACCTTCTCCAACTAGACGTCTCTTATACAAAACCTATTTGAGATAGTTTTTTCTTAATTAAATCAAAGCACTGTTTGCTATATGGGACTAAAAACATCTATTCGCATATAATATTTTTTTTGTTAGCTTTCATTGCACCCAGCTATATTTCAGCCAACCAGCAATTTATCTTATTATAAACTTAAGAAGCTTTAAACTAAGAGTTCATCCATCTTATTATTTCTGTTCTGATAACTATACACTGCACACGCGCACTGTGCTCTGCTTTATGCAGGCATTCAGGACCTTCAAACCACATTCTATTTTCTATTAATTTTGATGGTAAAATCCACTTGATGCCAAATCTGCTGGATTATCCTCTGATTTCACATAAAACCAATTTTCACAACTTGTGAGTCACACCACAAGAACACAGCATCAATATTAATAGGGAGAGAATTTTTTTGATAACAACAAAGCACCAGATAATTCTAACTTAGGAAAGGTAAGTGCTTTTATGGGAGCCACCTTACTCTTTGCACATAGAAGTCCAACCTTGATTTTACTCATTTATCAATGCTTTTAAGATGCATACAAGACCCTATCACATTTTGAGACGCATCTGAAACATCATGAATTTCAACTATGAATGAGTTCTCATAAGAAACATATCTAGGAAAAGAAATGGTGTTCAACACTGACATATCTGTCTTGAACTTATGCCACTCCTTGGCAACATCCGTTGACATTGGGTCATCCTATGATAACTTCAACAACCACAGCTTTTGAAGAAGTATTTTTGGAATGATGATACAAGCAAGGGGTACAATCTCTGATAATATTCTACGTTTTCTTACATGTTTCTCACTGACGTCACCTACCTTGAATGTTAAGGTATCTGCTTTACAATTGCAGTACAACCCCAACATTTTCGTTTTCTCATTTTCCCCTAAATTTACAATTTGACATTCTTTACCAACAGTTGATCTAGTACCTCCTTTCGATTAGATTTAAATTTCCCTAATTCAAAACCAGCACTTCGTAACACATTTGACAATTGCTAGCACAAATTAACAGCTTCTTGTACTGACGATGATCCAAAGATCAAATAGTCTACATAAAAGTCACGAGCTATTACCTGTGAAACCTCAGAGAAATGTTCACCACATTCTAACGGCAATTGTTTCAAACATCTTACAGCTAAAAATGGACTCGATGCCAGACCAAAGGTCACTGTGTTCAGATTATGTTCCCGAACCTCATCAGCTGGATTAGAACGCCACAATATCCTTTGAAATGGACTATGTTCTTGCTTTATCCACACCTGTCTGTACATCTTCACAATATCTCCACAAATTGCAACACTATTTTGTCGAAATCTTAATAAAATTGAAATTAGATCTTCTTGTATTCTGGCTCCCACATATTGCAATTTATTCACAGACACACCAGAATCTGATTTTGCTGAACCATCATACACAATTTGAAGTTTAGTTGTACTTTTCTTAATAACCTCATGATGAGGAAGGTAAAAACATACTTGATCAGTATTACACACATCCTTAATTTCACTCATGTGTCATATTCTGACATATATTCACAATATTCTCTTTTTAATTCACAATTGTTGCATACAACCTCTTCAAAGCCATTTGCTTTAAATCTCCAAGTTTTTCTACTGGCTCCTTAAATGGAATGGCTATCGCAAATGTACCATCCTGAGACCTTTTTAAACTTGACATATAAATGTTCTCACATTCAATTTCATCTGCATTCATTTGACAGATAGGTTCACTCACATCTGGTTCTTCCCATTGCCAAAATTTTGCTAACTGATCATGCACATATTGATCTTGAACAAAATTACACACAACTTTTTTGGACTTATTCTCATTAACCTGTCCTATGTTTCCTGAAATTATCCACCCTACATGCGAATTTTGCAAAATTGGTAAATATGTGGTCTCGTTTGGCGAGCACACAAAGAACTACAAACATTATATGACATTTTTGTTGCTCTTGCTAGGTTTTCAGAGTGTACACACCACACCTTATCATCCGCAAGGAAACGGCATGATTGAAAGATTTCATCGAACTCTTAAATCAGCCCTTGTGGCAAAACTCACTTCAAATACTTGGAAAGACGAATTGTCTTTGATTCTCCTAGGTTTGCGATCTACAATCAAAGAGGATTTACAATGCTCACCCTTGTTTGTTCATCCAGAATTAAAAAATACAGAATTTGTTTTCCTAAAAGTTCCGGGTATCAAACCAAGCCTCACAGCACCGTACGACGGTCCTTTCAAAGTTATTTCTAGGACTGAAAAAGTTTTCAAAATCTTGAAAGGTAATCGTGAAATAACTGTCAACATTGACATGACTAAACCAGCTTTCTTATTATGGTGCGTTTGATTTGATCATCATAGATCTCCGAGCGCTACAAACGTGTTTGAATTGACACTCCGAGAGATCCCTAAAGTATTTGTTTTGCTTTGGAGCGAGAACATAGAGCAAGCTCGATGTTCTCAGAGCAGAAGGATCGAGAAGAGGGAGAAATTTGTCTTTGTCTCTACCTATCTCTTTTTAATTAACCTACAAACAATATTGAACCTCAAAATTAAAGACCCGACAAGAAGTCAATAAAATACTTAGCTGCTTTTGTCTTATATCTAAAATTATTCGTCATAAAAAAAAAGAATGTGTGTTTGGAAAATACATTTTTTCTGTCCAAATTTAATCACCAGTAATCACAGTCATGGAGTATAAAAGCAAAGTGGGCATTTGTGGTATATGCTGCATTTCAGGACCATTACCCCTTACTATTAAAAGTTTTTCTATTTTCTTTACTTTTTGCTCACTATTTTGACACACAAACCAGAAACAAGAATCACAAAAAAGCGAGGTTATGTTTTTTACTCTGTTTTATTTGATTTGATTCAATGCTCTATTGTGACGTCATCACTTCTCGGTCTCCTCGACGCTCGCTCGATCGAGTTTTAAATCAAACGCCCCTTTAAATGAGCAAATTGACAGCGCGCAAGTGCCAACCAAAAAGACAAAGAAGGTCACTTTTTCTATTAATAATTTAGTTCAATATTAGTTATCAGTTTTATTTAATTATTATTCAATTTAATTGATTCAATTTTGTTTTCCTTTTCTTTTAAAAGAGAGACGGAGTATTTGTGGTGCTCGCGTCTCGTTTGGCGAGCACACAAAGAACTTCCAACATTTTATGATATTTTTGTTGCTTTTTCATTTTTGACGTTTCATTTTTATTTTTTTTTTGTTATATGCAACACATACTTTGCTTTTCTTTTACTATACGGAGAATGGTCGAACTGCGCAGCTTTCTGAGTGCCTTTTAAAAGGAGATAGAAAACTCCGAAGCGGATGATTAAAACGCACCTGATATTTTGCTTGCTGCTGTCAATGTCAGTGAATATTATTTTTGGAGTCACAGTTTATTGCTAAAGAATCAGTTAGCTCACTCGGACCAGTTGAAAGTTCCAAAATAACATCCACTCCAGGGATACAAATTCAGGATACGCAGAAGACTGCTGTTTTATTATAGGCGGTTGTCATATATTGTATTATCTGAGTTGCGCAGTGTATAAACTGGAACATTGAGATAAAAAGTGCCGACGCAGAGTGAGCGATCTGATTCTTTAGCTATAAACTGTGTCATAGGGTTCAAAATGGCCGCACCGTATGTTGGACGTGTCGGACCTCTCTCTTGCCCCGTATAGTAATCAAAGTATGTGCTTGAGAGTGACAACCATCTGGTCTCTTCTTTTTCAATAACGTACCTGTTATTTATGAAGCTATGCTTTTCCTTTTGTAAATCTTTACAGGATTTTCCACCAGGATAGAAGAACGAAGTAGACAAGAAATTGAGAGCCAGCCATATATAAAGGACCGCCGTTGCTATGCTGAAACAGTAGAAAGACAGCAGACAGAAAACAAGCATTTTTTCCAAACATCACGAACAAATCCAAATTTTATAATTCCGATTATACCATTTTTATATAGTTTTTTCTGATTAAATTTTTTTCTAAATTAGTTGTAGCCATTACTCCAAAGGATTTAGTGATCGCCGACCGGGACCACTAAAATTCACCTATTTGGATTTGTCCTTCACAAATAAGCTACCAGAAAACACTTGTATATCCAGCTCTTGTGGTTCATAGAATATTGGATTTGCCAAATAGAAACCATCCGGTATTAGTAAATTACTTAAATATATACTGGAATATGGTACCTCATCAAACATTTATTGACTCTGTGATATTTGACTTGGCAACTTCATATTAAGATGGCACCGCTTCTCTTCGTTATTTGTATTTGCCCTGAAGATTTCCACTAAGATGAATTGTTTTCTGCGGTTTTCTCGATGTAAATTGGTATGGATTCGGTGGCACTTGTTTTACGGACACCGTCTCCACAAATTATTTTCTTTTTGCCGTGCTGCTAACACAAAAGCCGGCTGCGACTCGCATATATCTCTTAATACACAAGAAATTAAGGGTTATAGGTTATAGTTGCAAATTCTAGTTGTTACAGCATGCTTTCACATAGAAAGCCACAAATATTCTCCAATAAACAGCTGTAATCCGGCTCGAAGGACCAAAAATGTTTATAATAAAACCTGGTGATAGTTACAGATGATTTATTATATAAAACTTTTACAAGGTGGACTGTAATTAACTTAACACATTCAAAAACATTTTACATCGGCTAACCTCACAAAAGTTCTTTTTTTAGTAATGTCACTTATCACGATTGACACTAGTGAACAATAATAATGATAATAAATATTAATACTAATATTATTAGACACTATTTAAAGATGTATACATTTTTTTAATATATTTTTTATCCCTTACCTGTCTCTTACACCAAAAGGGCATACTTATTTTCCATACTCCCTTAATTATAGATTACTTTATAATGTTTGATTGAAGATCACATTTTACCAATAAAAAATATAATTTCGAATTTAACTGTTTTTCAATTTCATTCAAATCATTTGGTATATTACTATTGGGATCTGAAGATAAGCGATACGCCCTCTACTGTGAACTAAAAGTTACGGCATTTGAAACTTGACCGTCTGTGTCCTGTCAAGTTTTGTTTATCAGGTCATATCAATAAATGTTATTTTAAAATTTAACAAGTATTTTGTTTGAAATATCTTATTTAACAATGCTTCATATTTTTATCCTATATATCTGTAAAAGGTCTTTACAAAAACATACCACATATTCCTTAGACCAAAATAAGTCGATTTAAGTAAAATTACCTGCCTTAGTACAAAGTTGCTTCGTTTGGGCTCCAGAGGACCTTGAAGTTACAATTTTTATATCGTTTTTCCCATATAAATTTAAAACGGCATATGCGATTTTGCTGAAATTTGGTATATTGGTAGAGTTTTATATAGCAAAAAATGGTAATAAAATTTTGTCCGATAATAATACATACGCGTAGAACTTGAATTTTTAAATAATTGCTTGCACCTTTAAAAATTCTACGCCAATGGAAGAAAAGGAGTTTGAGTATGAAATTTAGATTGCGCAACTCATTTACTTTAAAAACGGTACTCTTGATACGACTCGATTACTCTCATGGTTTTCGCTAAATTTCTGTTTTAATAATTTAGAGTGTATAGGTTTTACAAAAATATTTATTTACAACATAATCAAAATAGAGATTTTACAAAAATTGTTCAAAATGTTTACCATTTTCACGCATACAAAAATTTATACGTCGAAGAAAATTAAAATGTATCCTTTCCATAACTTCTTCATCACCTCTAAGATTGTTTATTGCATCTTGAATACGTTGCCAGAGTTGTTTCTCATTTTCTACAGGTTTCCTGTAAACTGCGGATTTCATATGTCTCCATAAAAAGTAATCCATCGGTGTTAGGTCTGGGGAACGTGGTAGCCAGTTTACATGTGCGTCATAACCTCTGCCTATCCATTTGTGTGGATATTGTTCATTCAAGTGGTTTCTAATGTTTAAAGAAAAATGTGGTGGAGCTCCATCTTGCATAAACCACATATCTCTCCGAAGTTGGAGAGGTAAATCTTCTAACAATTCTGGCAACGTATTTTGTAGAAAATTCCACACCTGTAATTTTGAACCAATCAAAATACGTGTTTTTGACAGATCACCATGGCAACGGAGGTATTTTAATGTAAATTTTTTTTCTCGTGGGGTACCCAACAGCGAATTATACTGGAAATTTTTTGACGTTTACAATAACAGACCATTTTTGACAGACTGGTTTTTATTTGTTCACATAATAGGTTTAGTTTTGATACATTTTAGTTACAATGCTAAGGTGTTTTCTATATTCTTCGGCCACTTCTTTTCTTCTTAATGGCGAAAATGCAGGGCTTTGGATGCTTTGAATTATGTGTCTATGTCTAATAAAATATATATAATATTTAGACACTAATTTATTCACCTTTTTCCCATTCAGCACTTTGAATTTTGCGTAGTTTAGGTGCAAATATTCGTGGGCAATTCGGAACAAATTTTCGTTTTTCAAGTTGGAGCCACAATCCTCTATTAATCCGAGTAAGTAAGTCATGGTGCAATGATTGATCATTACATCAGACAATTTCA